CACTTGGCTCGCCCAGTGGCCATCTGTGTGGTCCACGTCGGCCATCCTCGGATCACCCAATGACCACCGCAAGGGCCTAGCCACGTTGGCTCTTCTCATGGCTTGGTCCATCTGGAGGCAGCGCAATCGGTGCATTTTTTATGGCGAGAATCCCTCCATCTCACGGCTTTTCGTGTCTAGCTATCAGGATAAGGCTAGATCTTGGGCTAGGGCAGGCGTGCACGGCTCAACATGTTACTAGCATAGGGTCCTAATCTTGCACTCGGACTGAGCAACCCATCACGAATGATCTGCAACTCTGTCTTGCCTCTTCCGCACAAGACATTGAGTTTGCACCCCCAATCTCTTTTGTACCCTCTCTTCCTACCAATGAAAAGATACACACTCTAGCATATTTGTGAAAAAAAAGTACTTCAAAATCTTGGCATATTGTCTTATGCAATTAAAATCTTCAAAGCTGCAGGTGAGTTATTTATCGTTTCATGTGCTTAGGCATATTAACTTCTAGCTGTGTCATTTTCATTCACACTATCTATTTCCCTCTTCTCTTTGTATATATATTCATCAACCTTTTCCGTGTCTGTTCGTCACCCAAGTCTATTTCATCAGTTCTGTATATTTTTCATGTCAGTTTTAGAATTGATGTCTTTCATTATTTAATTTTGTCCCTCACTCTTCAGTCTACTTTTCTTCTTCAGTATGTATATTCATCAACCTTTTCCGTGTCTGTTCGTCACCCAAGTCTATTTCATCAGTTCTGTATATTTTTCATGTCAGTTTTAGAATTGATGTCTTTCATTATTTAATTTTGTCCCTCACTCTTCAGTCTACTTTTCTTCCTCATTATTCAGTCTTTTTTTCTAGTTCTCTTCATTATGTATTCTTCTATCTTTCTTTCTTGACTGAAGAGATAAATGACCAGAACAAGACTTTATACAGTGTTGGGGCATTTCCTCATTTCCTCCAGTCTAGGGACCTGTTTCTAGTTGTTGTCACCCCCCCCCACACACACACGCACACACGCACAAACACACAAGCACCCCCAGGCGAAGGGGAGACAAGAAAACGACTTCCATTTAATTTCCCCCTTCAGTGGCCCTAGCCGCCTTCCTTAACAAGCGCTCGAGCCTCCTTTGTGCCGCCTTCCTCATAGAAGCCACTGGGTTGACCCCGAAGGCCGAATTCAATGGTAGAGAAGGCTTTAATAAATTTTTTTTTGCCTCTTTTGCCTATGTCATTCTCAGTACTCCCTCCGTCCCGAATTACTTGACGCGGAAATGGATGTATCTAGACATATTTTTACCATTATATCCTTTCCGTGACAAGTAATTCGTATCCATTTTTGCGACAAGTAATCCTGGACAGAGGGAGTATTTGTTTAGTCTTACCTATTCTGGTTATCACTCGGAGATAAGGGGTGTGCGTTCAATCTTCCGTTCAGTCAGTTTGATATAAGGCTCTAATAAGTTTGTTCATTCTTCAGTTTGTGAGCTACAATCATTTTTTTCAGTTTGAGTAAAAGTAACCAATTACAACTTACTTCAGTGAATGTTTAGTCATTGTTAGTTCTCTGTCATGTTCAGGTTTTCATCCCTTTCCACTTCAGCTTTCCTAGGACGTATCTAAACTACCGGTTTTGTCCATGACCAAACTAAACTATAAGGTTTTGATTCTTTAATTAAATCCTTCATTTTTTTTGCTTTCTACTTCAAGGCTTATGCATTCTTTACTGTACCTTTCCAGCTCCTCATTCTTCTTGGTTCTTCGGTCATCATTTTTGTGAATGTTCGGTGTTCATTTAGTATGCATCGCTCAGTCCTAACACCATCGAAGCCTACACCCTGCAGGTTCTATTATAAGTCAGTTCTTGTTCAATGTTCAGTCCTATAGTATTTTAATCTTCAATTTCATTATATTTTACTTCTTTATTTTTAATTTTTCCTAGGAAGGAGGTCTTTCAGTCTTCTATTGATGGTATTTTTCATTTGTTTCTCTGACATCCTTTCTGTCTATCTATCTTTCAGGTCTTTACTAGCAAGTATCTAACTGAGCTTGCTCATCTATTTACCTTAGGATCCAGTATCAGCCTAAATAGTTAACTTATCTATGGGTGCTTAGACTTTCAGTTATAGAATATCAAGGCAAAGAACAGTAGTAGCTGACATTGACTATACATGTCCATTATTTATTTATTTCTTGACAAATGCCATGCAGGCATGCCGAGTCGGCTACGAAGACTCTAACAAGGATGTCAAGAGTCAGTCCCTCTTCGCATCTCTATCAAATCACTTCAAAACATCATTGGTACATGTTGTGGTCAGCCGTAATACACCGTGCAACACATTCCTCAGTCTTTTTGCCTCGTTCGTCTTTCATTTTATTAATATTTCATCAGCCTTTGTTCCTCAGTCTATCCTGCAAAATTGACAGCTATTTGTAGGCGACCACACTTTATTTATAGTACTTATCATCTAGCATTATCTCGCAGCTGAGATTGAGTATGAATGTTCAGTCCTTCAGTTAGTTTTCATTCTAGGAATTCTTCAGTCACCATTAATTCTTCTTTTCATTCTTCATCAGGATTGGATGTGTTTTATTATCTTTATTCAGTTCTTATCATTTTTCTCGTTAACCAGTTTTTTGGCAGCACATTTGATGATGGATATCAATAGACCCTGCCCCATAGGGAGAGGCTAGGGGAATCAGAAAAGACTTCTCTCTGTCCAGAAGTATTAAATATTTATTTTGTTGGCTTTGCATTCTTTATCTTTGCCTCTCTACGTATATTTGTTTCATGTAAGTGACTAAGTTTATACTTGTTATTCCTTGATTCAAATTTAAAAAGAACATATTGTATTTTCAGAGGAGTTCTAAATTACATCCTTGTGTTCTACATGCTTGTGTTCATATAGCATTATTCAGATTTCATCCTTTTCTTCAGTTTAAGGCTGTTTTAGATGAACTTGGTTTTTGCTACATCTAATTTCAGGTGCTTCAAGAAAGGCTGGCAAAAAGTTGTGTGAAGGGCTGATCTGATGTCAAGATCAGGCTGCTCGTTCTTGCAACCTTCTATTAAAACGAATGCCGTTTTGTTATCTCATTGTGTCATCTGCTAGCAATTATTTTAGGAAAATTGTTGTTTGTAGCACACTGAAGTCTGCCTTGCGTATTTTCCTTTTGTCGAGCCTGCCTTTTGTGTTATTTTGTTTTGCATCACACCTTGGGATGAAGAACTTAGCTGGAGCTTTCCCCAGCTACCTTTTTGTTACTTTAGGCCTTCTACAACCTAGTCGGCTTTTACGGAGACTTGGAGGTAAACAACTTAGTCTACATGAACTGCGAAACAAAGAAAAACTTGGGCAGCCTAAATTTTGTTTGTTTTAGTTTAACAATGCCCAAACCAGTTACGGCATATGGAGTCGTTAGGGGGAGGAGTGGCGGACCTCGTCGTTGGAAATTACAAAGCGTTTTCGCTGCCAAAACAAACATTCCATGGTCAACGCCACAAACAATGGTGTCGAGCTATTAGAGGTCAACATTACAATCCATGGCGCTGAGCTCATGATGGGGGTCAATGCAATGGACTATATCATTGAGTTCTAAAAGCTCCATGACGTTGACGCCGGAACCTTTGTTTTGATCGTGAAAACGGTATTTTTTTTTCCAAACCTGAGGTATGTGGCGCAGGAAAATTCAACGCCAGAGAGGTTGGCGTTCAGAGAAAGGGTTAGATTTGGTGTAAGTTTGTGAGGTGGGCCATGGAGAATCAATTTTGTCATTTCTCAACCCTTGCCCAGCGCCGTTGCTGTGCCGCTTC